AGCAGCCATCTGAAAATTCACATATATTTGAAGTAGAAATCCTTTGTGAAAATAATAAATGTCACTTTTGATCAATTTAATGCATTCTTGCTAAAAAAAAGTATTAATTTATTTTTGGAAAAAACTGAGTTTTTCATTATTAATTTTTATTATTATAAATTTTTTCAGCTAAATGCTTGAGCATTAAGTTGTGAGTAATTGTAATTGTTTGAATAAGAATAACTGACAATGAAATGACACAAAATATATATTAACAAACGATCAAAATGTTTTTATTCAAGAAATGTGCATTATTAGCAACAGTTGCACTTGAAATGTGGATGTCCAATGCATGTTGCAAGTCAATAACAATACAAAAACCCATCAATAAATACATATTGAAATAAATTCTTTAAATAAATAAATAAACAAATAAATAATCTGACATCAAGTATCATAGTGAAAGCAACGAGGCTTTCAAAATGTTTTAGAGTTCTGAACTTCGCTCGTTCAAGACCACCGTCGGATTAATATTACTTTGTGTGGAGTGCACTGAGCTTGAATTCACGTTTTCTGAACTCTGATATTTCACATCAGGCACCTGAAACGACACCATCGGACAGGGTCCGTTGATATTCAAGCACACCAGCTTCTTCAGTGAGGCTGAGTTAACAATGTCAAATCCCACTTTCCCACCAAATGTGCTCGGCATCCAGTATTCAGGAGAACAAATAGCATTTCCCATGAGGCCTTTGAGAGAGTAGGGGGCTCCCATCTCTACCATAGTCTCCCCAAACACAGCGTTGGGTCTGGGTTTCTCCACAAGAAGGCCAGGATACAGCTCAACCGCGTCTATGTGACCGTACAGCTGCTTCATTTCGGCTGCCAGCTCCTTGTCTCCTGTTTTACCATACAGAAAAAGTTACAATTAAATAAGAGGTCACATGATGTATTTGTGAAAATTTTCTGAATCTATGCTAACATAGTAGGGTTTTTTCTTCGATTTTGAATTGCCTAGGTGATATTCACTGTTTATCTTACCTGTCATCTCCTCAAAAGACGAGTAGGGCTTCATGTTGAAGCGTTTCCTGTAGGCATTGAAAGACTGGTACCGCATCTGTCTGGAATGCTCCAGAACGCTAACAGCCACTCCTTGAACTGTAGCAGGCAGGTTACGTCCACCAGCAACCTGTTCACACAAAAATGATAGACATTAGCAAAGCCAGCAGAGTAAAGACTAGGGGATTGCTCACCCTCATGTCGTTCCAAAACTGTATGAACACAAAAGATATTTTGAAGAACTATGTTTGTCCAAAGAATAAAAGTCAGTAGGGTCTAAAATAACACTGGACCCCAGTAACTTTCATTTTATGGACAAAAAAACACAAAATATCTTCTTGTATGTTCCACAGAAGAAAGAAAGTCATTTGGAACACGACATGAGGCTTCTCTGAGAAGCTTTCTATCTGTAAGTGAAACTCACCCTTCCAGACCTCTGTTTGGTGAAGGATTCCACCATGTTGCGGATGCCGTGTTCGGTTAAAATAGAGTTGTTAAACACAAACTGGTGGTGGCCGTAGACCTGGTCCTGGATCTGAAAGTTGTCAGGCATCAGAGGGTGCCAGTGATACAGAGTGTTGAATTCGGATGCGATGCGGTTCTGGTACTGAAAGCGCTCATTGAAGAGAAGCTCTGGGTCAAACTTGAGCTTGAAGTGGTAGCCACTCAAGTGCTGAACATAGTCCTCGATCACGATTTTGATGGTCTCACCTAGAAGCAGAAAGCTGGGATATTTAATCCCTCCACAAAGTTTTGAAGATTAGGAATGTTTTAGATGATGCGACCAAGACTCACCAATCAGGATGAGACGAGTGGTTTGGAAGATCCTCTCGTCGTCCCAGTCGGGATGCTCTTGCTTCATGATATCACAGACACGGTTGTGCTCACGAAGCCAAATGGTAGCATACATCATCAAACCTGGAACCAGACCGAAGACCTCATGGCCCACAGCGAATCTCTGTTCTTCTGGGATATGAGGAGGATAGTGCATCTCCACCTGGACATCCTTTACCAACGGAGGATACACCTCACCATCCACAACCTAAGAGTCAAATACATTTTTCATTTAGGTTTTCACATTAAACCAACAAGCAATACTTGTGTCCATTTTAAAATGATAGTTCACCCAAAAACAAAAATTCGGCCATCATTTACTCACCCTCATGTCATTCTAAACATGTACTTTCTTTCTTTAACATATTTTGAAGAATGAAAGTCAGTGGGGTCCAATGTTGTTTTGGTCCCTACTGACTTTCATTGTATGGACAAAAATGGTTCTTCAGAATGTCCTCTTTTGTGCTTCGTAAAAGAATGAAATCATACACATTTGAAACAACATGAGGGTGAGTGAATGATGACAGAGTTGTCATTTTGGGTTGAAATATCCCTTTAAGTGCCGTTTTGATGTCTATTTGAATGTCCACAAACCTGATACTTCAGCTTTCCATCTTTAAATAGGCGAAGTTTGTGTTGTCTCTCCAGTGTCTCTCCATAAATATGCCCCAAATCCACCTAAAACGTTAGAGAACGTTTAGAAATTGTATTGCTTATACACTTTGGATGGGATGTAAAATTTTCCCAAATAAAATGGTTAGTTAATGCCACTTACCCCATGGCCCAGGGCTTTAGTGAAGGCTGGTCCTTTTTTAAAGTCTGACTTGAAGAACTGGTGAGAGAAATGCTGGGCGAAGAAAGCAAACATGAGACTGGTCCCCTGTGGATCAGGGATGAACTTTTTCCTCACCAGCACCTTCTCCACCACCTGCTTTGCATTTGGGAGATCGGGCGTAGGGCAGTTCTGGGGCAATGGGGCGAGGGTGCGGGTGTAATAGGACAAGTTAGAATACGCTTCCCAGCTTTTGTAGTTATAATCTGCATTGTACGTCGGTGGACTGTTGACCAAATGGGACCTTGCTGTAAAACAAGAAAGAGGAATAGTTTTATTTTACGTATTTATTTAGTCTAATTTTTTTTATTATGTTCAATTTTTCTATGAATCTACTCCAAAACGACTTCATTTAACTTACATGTCAGGACATATCTCATTATGGCATCTCTCAGGAAAGAGATGTTGTTGATGATGTCCCAGATCCATTTATAATGCGTTAAAATATGATGCAGTACGCTTGGCCTTGGTTTCAGAGTTGATTTGACAAATGTGAGAAGTTCGGCTGTAAAGCAAGAAAAAACAGTGTTAAGTGCACACATTTACACATGTAAAATGTTCCTCTATGTAAAAACAATCCATGGCCAGACTTACGGGTAGTGCAGTTTTCACCATAATATCCTGTCCTGGTACAGTCACATTCATAAGCAGCAGCACCCTTAGATAAACACACACCCTGGTTTTGGCAAGGCTGTGCACAGCATGGGTCGTCTGCAGGAAACAATCATAAAGAAAAGAAACGTTATTTCCAGGCATGATTAGACTGCATTTGGGTGAAACAATCAAACTCTGAAAGAAGCACGTAAGTCTAACATTGCTAAAGCTGAGTTAACTTACATCCTTCACCGGGAAAGATCCAAAGGCTTGAAAGTAAGACCAGGCAAATCAGTCTATTCATTCCAGAAGTTGTATCTAGAATGTCTTACTCCGAAGCAGAATCTGGCAGAGCGAGTGGAATGTGAGCGCCTGGATGCGCTCCTGTGCCTTTTAAATGCTTGAGAATGAGATATGCTTGCGCAATTTCCAAGATGAAGGGGGGGACGGAAGGTTTGTAACGTCACGAGCCGACTGTATTTTTCCATATGTTGCACATTTTACGAATTTATTCTTTTTTTAAGGATTTATATTCAGGAAGAAGCAGGCTAGCTAATAATTTATTATTACAGGAATAGAAAAGGATTTATTAATTTGAAATAGGCTATTTATTTATCAATTTATTATTGGTAAAAACAATGACAAATAAATAATAAACTAATAAAAAGATCATCTTAATGGTATAGGCTATTTATAGCCTAGCTATGTTCATATTTACAACTAGCCTCTGAATTACCTATATATATTCAGGATTAATAACATAGCCTACTCAAATGTTTATGTAGGCTATGTACCTCCAAAATATGTTATTAGCCTATAAGTAATAAATTAGCCTATACAAATTATTAGCCTGTCATTTGTTATTATAATTATTATGCATTTGATCAACTAGACATGGCTTTAAATTGAGGAAAGGAATTACTGTAACCTCCGTAATTTTCAAAACCAGACACCGGCAAAGATGTGGACAATACGGGGATTCCAGTGATTATGATCGCATTACTGTAACTCATGAGCGCCACCTGTCAGAGAATGTGTCGCTATTACAGTCATTCGCAATCTTACATTCTGGGTTATAATTTAATTAGTCTATCATAATCTTGATACATGAACACTTTAATGCAACGACATTTCTCATTTATATTATTATGTTTAATAATATTAACATAGCGCTAAAATAATTCCCATCAGAGTCCTTGTGAAATATGAGGAGCAGGGGCGGGGGAAGAGTTTGCGTCCGCCCTGAAATCGACTGATTTTAGAGAATCGATTCGTTTGAATGATTCGTTTGAATGAACTATTTCAGGAAACTCATTCAACATTCATTTGAGTCATCGATTTAACGCTTTCTTGTTTGTGGTTCATTGGATATTTTATTCAATACTGATATTATCACTGATGTTTTCGATTACGTTTATGTATTAGTTGTATTTAGCGTAGGCCTACATTTTGGTGGTCCAGTTTGGTGCAGTTAGTCAAATGAAAACCCTGCCAACCCTGCAGTTTTGGCAGATAAACTTTCTCAGTAGTTTAAAAAATAGTGTGAAAGGTTTCGATGCCTATAGTTCCAACCTTTTATCCACTTCATATACGTTTAGATTGTTTTACTTATAAACTATATTCTATAAGATTTACAAACCTTGTGCGAGTCGGTTCGATCGAATCATTGCAATGAACAGTCTCAAATGAACGATTCGTTCGAATCTCATCTTTAGTCCATCCAGTAATGCGCATTCCTCTTGGCTTCCTGAAGTAACTTTCTTGTCGGAGAGGGACCAACATCACTGTACCACCAACTATGGTAAGTTCGTGCATGTTTCATTTCTCTGTAAAGTCGTAAAACTTTTAGTATCTACGCGTTTATGACTTGCGCAACAAAATCCCTCTTAAAAAGTTTCTATCATACTTCTGAACTGAGAGCGACCTTTTGGGTCTCAGAACGTTAAACTCAGCATGTCATTCGGAAAGGCGGTATCATGTTTCAACCGCTTGTGCGTAGACAGTATGTTTTTTTCTACCTTTTTTTTATTGTCAAATTTTACAGATGTTTCCCGGACTGTCTTGAAATAAAGTGCCTTCCTGACCTCCACATTGCTGTCAGAATGTCCTCCATAGACCCCTATCAGTACATCATAGTAAGTTAAGTTTCACTAAGTCAGAGAGAAATCTCTTGAAGTAGAGCCTGTTTCATTAAGTTAAGGTAAATCAATCACTAATTTTGACATGGTAATTAGAGGTTTTGAAAGATCTATTTTAATTTTTAAGATCAGTTAATTTATTCGTTGATGTTGTAAAGCTGTAAAGCTGCTGCTCTTTTGCAGTGTTTGGATTCATTTGCATACAGACAGCTGCTGAATTTATGAAATTAGAGACACATTTACTGTTTATGTATAATTCTGTTTGGGAATCACCTAATGTCTATTTCCTACTTCAGTAGTTAAATGAGCTTCCTTTATACATACATACACATTTTACTGCTCTTGACGCTCTAAACCCTTGCCATTGTGGATCACTATATGCGCAGGTTGAGCATCAGTATTCTCATAGATTGAAAGTAAATGTGGTGAGAGCTGAAAATGTGACGAAAGGAGCATTTGGGGATTTATGTGAGTATATATTTATGCTATTTAAATAAATCCTTGAATGAGCATTTATACTTAAGTGATTGTGTGTTCGTTCACAGTGGACACCCCAGACCCTTATGTGGAACTGTCCATTCCAACCACACCAGAGTCAAGAAAACGAACACGCCACATAAATAATGACATTAACCCGAAATGGAATGAAACATTTGAGTTCATATTGGATCCCAATCAACCCAATGTTTTGGAGGTGAAAGATTTCTACTCTAATGACTTATTTTTTACACTTTCCTTTAAAAGCTTTATTTTCTTATTTTAAATACATTACTGTATTTATTACCATATCCTGATTCAATACAGTGGTCCCAAAAAGTATAACTTAAGTCACACTTTAAAATCTATATATTTCTTTGAATTAGATAACAGCATCAAATCAAGTAGAATCTGCTTGACAAATTATACTATACCTTTTACTAGACTAACTTCACATTTCTCAGCTGCGTTTGCAATGACTTTTAACCAGCAGGTGTCATGGTGATATTTAGCGGATGTTTTGGAAGTCAGATTCCCTCAAGTTTACACAGTGGGCCCTTGGAGCTATAAAGTTTCCAAACACTTTTTGTCTTAATATTAAACTAGCCCTACACTACCGTTCAAACATTTGGGGTCAGTAAGTTTTTCAACACCAAATCAGCATATTAGAATGATTTCTTATCATGTGACACTGAAGACTGGCTGCTGAAAATTCACCTTTGTCATCACTGGAATAAAATACATTTTAAAATATATTAAAATACAAAACAGTTATCATAGCTTTTTTAATAATATTTCAAAATATTACTATTTATATTACTATGTTTTTGCGGGATTTTGGGGCAAATGCAGTCTCGGTGAGCATTAGAGACTTCTTTCAAAAATATTTAAACATCTTACCAACCCCATTCTTTTGAATGATAGTGTGTATGTATTGTTTTATTATTTGGAACTGAACTTTGTGTACATTTTAAAATATATTAAAATACAAAACAGTTATCATAGCTTTTTTAATAATATTTCAAAATATTACTATTTATATTACTATGTTTTTGCGGGATTTTGGGGCAAATGCAGTCTCGGTGAGCATTAGAGACTTCTTTCAAAAATATTTAAATATCTTACCAACCCCATTCTTTTGAATGATAGTGTGTATGTATTGTTTTATTATTCGGAACTGAACTTTGTGTGAAATGTTTTGCTTGAAAAGTGTGCCTATGCTGTTTTTGGTTTATATGGCATGGTTTATGCAGTAAAAAAGAAAGGTGTTGCTTTGAATTTTAAATGTCTTAGAAAATACATCAGCACTTTGTTATAATGCTGTTTGAATGCTCTTTATTTAGATGACACTGATGGACGCTAATTATGTCATGGACGAAACTCTGGGCACAGCTAAATATTCCCTTTCAAAGCTCAAAGTGGGGCAGACAGAGCATGTGACCCTATCTATTGGCAAGGTAAAGGTTTTTTTGGTTTACACTATCAACCTGCTATGAACTAAATTCATAGTTACTGCTTTTCAGTATCTTGTTGTTTACTATTATTCTCTGATTTTTACCAGACGACAAAAGTGTTCCTCGACATGATCTTAGAAGTGTGGTATGTATAAAGAAATGTTTATTTCTATACATTATGCATACTATTTTATACGTAGTAGAGCGAATGAGGGACTGAAAGTGAGTCATTTTTGTGCAGTGCGTCCACAGACTTGCGCTTCAGCATGGCACTGTGTGATCAGGAGAAACTCTTCATGCAGACGCGCAGGGACAGAGTTATGCTCAGCATCAAGAAGCTTCTAAAAATGGAAAACCCACGCTTCCTTCCAGCCTCACCTAGAGAGGTGAAGTTAAAAACTGCCTTATAAACTGTGCTATACTAAAAAAAGAATCTTATCTCTAGCGAGAGCGATCCTTTCTGATAGCAGCTCTATTTTTGCTCAGGTTCCCACCATCGCCATTTTGGGTTCTGGAGGTGGTTTTCGTGCAATGGTTAGCTTCTCTGGTGTGATGAAGGCTCTGTATGAATCTGGGGTGCTTGACTGTGCAACATACGTGGCAGGACTTTCTGGATCAACATGGTCAGTAAAAGTCTTTCCAATTTTTTTTCATTTAAACAGATACAGAAATCCCATAGACTTCTACAATCTTAAAAATACCAATGGTTGCAAAAGGAGATTTTCACAGTGTTGCTATAGAAGAACCATTTTGGGTTTCCCTATGAACCTTTCAGTGAACAGTTCTGAAAAGAATAGCTCATTTTCTTAGAGTGAAGAACATTTTAATAATTTGAAGAACCTTTTTTTGTGCAGTGGAAAGGTTCTATGGATGTTCATGGAACCACAAATGCCATTAAAGAACCTTTATTTTTAAGAGTGTAGGGACAAGAAAAGCAAAAAATGTTTATGTGGGCCACTAATTAACCATCTGAAACACCCTAGCAACCACATAGCGATGCCCTAGCAACCATCCTGAATACCGTAGCAGCCACATAACTATATGCTAAACACTATTCTGAACTCCTCAACAACCACATAGCAAGCACCAATCACATCAAAAATCTCATTAACATCCATACTGGCTATATTCCCACAGGTATATGTCCATGCTGTACTCGCACCCTGAATTTCCCGCTAAAGGCCCAGGGGATATTAATAAGGAGCTGATGAGCAGAGTCAGCAATAACCCACTCAAACTGCTCCTGCCCCAAAACATTAATCGCTACGTCAAAGCACTGTGGAAGAAGAAATCGGGCGGACAGCCTGTCACTTTCACTGACATCTTCGGGATGTTGATCGGAGAGACTCTAATTCCAGGGGTGAGATATGCGGCAATACAAACTGGGTTATTGAGAGTTTTTACTGCAATAGGAGATCGAGAGCGGCATGAACTGCACTGGGCTGCACTGTACTCTATTTATACACTGTAGTTTGTTCAAATACAAAGACTCCTTTGTATGTTGTCTCTCTATTACGCATCCCAATGCAAATAGACCCTTCTCTTTGGGAGGATCGTCCTTGTAAAACAGGAAGATACTTCTCAATACAGGAAGGCAGTAGCCCCTGTATTTATGATTGTACACTACAGTTAATATTTCTTTTTTTAAGAAAGTAAGAAATTAACACTTTTATTCAGCAAGGACGCATTAAATTGAAATGAAAGACATTTAAAATGTTACAAAAGATTTCTATTTCAAATGAATGGTGTATTTTTATGCCTTTATAGTCATCAAAGAATCCTGAAAAATAAAATGTATCTTGGTTTTCACAAAAAATATTAAGCAGTATAACTGTTTTCAACCACAACTGTTTTCAATACCAGATCAGCATAATTAAATAAATTCTGAAGGATTAAGACTGGAGTAATAAGTGCTGAAAATTCAGCTTTGCTGTCACAGGAATAAATTACACTTTAAAATATATTTAAATAGAAAACAGTTATATTATACTGTAATAATATTTCACAATTTTACTGTATTTTTTAAAAAATTCAGTAAATTAAAAAATGCATCCTTGGTAAGCATAAGAGACTTTTTTTCTCTTAACGACCTTAAACCTTTGAACTGGAGTGTATGAGAAAATGTGTGCACTTGATATTCCGCTTTCATGTTGCTTATCTGTTGACTAGAGTAAGATAGTTTTGAATAATTTTCCCAAATCACACATACCATTTTAATGTGACATTTTATCATTTGAATGGCTTTACTTGCAGAAATATTTGTAGAGATATAGATGCAGCTTAGAGATAATGGACCATTGAAAGTGTGTCTGATATACATAATGACCAAGTGATTTTAGGAAAAGATCTATATTGCTTGAATGACACCAAAATGTCATTATTTACTCACTTTCACGCTCTCTTTCCTTGGTGGAACACAAAAGGAGGAATTTTTGAGACTCTACTAGCTGTTTTTGTCCATGCTGTTACAATTAATGCAGACTGGAGCTTTTAAGCTTAAAACAGGACACAAAATCATCATAAAATTATCAGATATATATATGCAAAAGCTATACAATAGCTTAGTGTGAGGAACAATTCTGTCAGACCAGAAAATGTCCTCGTTTTGTGTTCCATGTAAAAATGTAAGTCAGACAGGTTTGGAGCGACATGACGATGAGTAAATGATGAGACTTTCATTTTAAGATGCACTGTTCCTTTAATTATACTACACACTGTTGCTACCATCCTTTTAGAAAATGCTGTAAAAAAGCTTTGTTAATATCAGTTTTTAACATACATTGACACAGATGCTGTGAAGACCTAAAGAAAAAAGTTTGATCATTAAGCTTACTGTGTGTGTGTGTGTGTTTTGCACAGAGAATGGACACTAAACTGAGCTCCATGCAGACGAAGATTAATGAAGGTCAGAGCCCCCTTCCTCTCTTCACCTGTCTGCACGTCAAACCTGATGTCTCTGAGCTCATGTTCGCAGGTAAGATGACAGTTCACGTAAACATTAAGAATGCTACATTATATTGTATTGTCTGTTATTGATTGCTGTGTGAATTGAATAATTCTTATGAAAAAGAAATGAGAAAGACACAGCAACTGTCCGTATTTGTAATGACTAACAAAATAGTAAAAATTTGTATAACACCACTTCATAGCCTCCGTGGTAGCTGAACACTATCGATTTGTTTACATTTGCCTAATACTGTGGAAAACATGCAAATATTTGTTATGGGGCCTAATGATTGACCCACTGTGAAGTCATTATGAACTTTTACAGCTCCTCCCACAGGTGTAGACACACTATTTTTAGAGACTAGTCAATGTGTGGGTAGGTTGTTTTCTGTTGAATGGGATCAGAGATTGTAACTAAACAGATGATGGTTAAGTGGAAGTATTTGTCAGTTCAATGCGAGTCACTTACTGTACATTACGCTTTGTATTTGTGTGAACATGAGTCACTGAGTCAAGTAGTATTTTGGTAGTGCAATTTAACATATAAAAGTGCCTTTGTCATTTTGACTTAATAATATTGAGTTTGTTTCCTTTGTCTCAATCAGACTGGGTGGAGTTCAGCCCGTATGAGATTGGCATGGCCAAATATGGCACCTTCATGTCTCCGGGGCTGTTTGGGAGCAAGTTCTTCATGGGCAGCGTTGTGAAACAATATGAGGAAAACCCCTTACATTTCCTCATGGGTAAGACTGGGACTGCTCTGAATTTCAACAGAACCGCTTGCTAAGAGACCCCTCAATATGCATGTGGTGTCACTAACAGCAGTACAGTTACTCATGAACTGTGTGATTACTCATACTTCCCATCAATATATAAAATATTCCCAATAGGTTTGCAAATATATAGAGTTGGATTCATTTCAAAATGTATTCAAACTATTAGTTCGATGAACTGATTCACTCATTCACTGAATCCCTCATTTAATCGTTTCGACTATTTGTTTGTGCCACCAAAAACATCTTTGCATAGTATTTTTTTATATTAAAATATGTTTTGTTAAAAAAAATTATATGTATATGGCTATTTTAAAGTTTGGGGTCAGTAAGATTTTTTTTTTAAACTAATTTAATACATTTATTCAGCAAGGATACATTTAATTGATCAAAAGTGACAGTAAACACATTTTTAATATTACAGATTTCTATTTTAAATAAACTTTGCTCTTTGGAAATTTCTATTCAACATTGATAATAATAAGAAATGTTTCTTGAGCACCAAATCGGCATATTAGAATGATTTCTGAAGAATCATGTGACACAGAAGACTAGAGTAATGATGCTGAAAATTCAGCTTATTTATCCCAGGAATAAATGAAAATGTAAAATACATTATAAAATAAAATATTTATTTTAAATTGTTATAATTTTGCTGTTTTTACTGTATTGTTCAGCATAAAAGACTCTTTGAAAAACATTTAAAAAAAAATTACAAACACTAACAATTGGTGTAAGTAAATAAATACGTTTTTTATAATAGTTTATATAAATAAAAATCATGAAATGTCATTCATTCATTTAGTAAAAAACTTGATTTGATTGTACTTCTCGCATTAAGATTTTGAATGACTTAACAACAGCAGCAGCTGCCGACAGCTGTTCAAATCAAACACATGAATATTGAGATATAAATCGTCAAAAGGCTGAAAAATGTTGAGATAATATCATGCTCTTAATGCTTAGTTCTTAAGAGAAACTCATCATATAAATGCTTCTTATGTTGAATCAAGAACACCTATCTTGCACAAATATCTTGCACCCTTTCAAGAAAGTTTTCTCAGTTGAAGAGGGCCAGAGTATTAGCTCTACATCAGAATTTATAATCCTTCCTTATTCTGTTTACTAGAATATCGGTTCCAAGTATTGTTTGCCGTAGCATGTTTAATGTAAGTGTATGTGCTGCAGGTGTATGGGGCAGTGCTTTCTCCATCCTCTTTAACCGGGTTCTGGGAGTGAAGGAGACAGCCAGTAGCAGCACAATGGAGGAGGAGCTGGGTGAGTAAGATTGTATCTCTTAGCTATCAGAGGCAAAGAACTTTATGAAAGAGACAACTTGCTCCACATTTCAAAAGAACCCAGTGTAGGCCAAGTTAGATTGTTATCATATTGTCAGTTTGTATCCTTGTAACATGCTATAATGTGCCATTACTTGTTCTTCTAGCGCCAACATGTACAGTTGACACACATTTACTGCATGAGTGCACAGTTTTGGCGTGGAAATGATAAGATTAACGCACTGCCACATTAGTCTACACACTACTGATGTGTGACCTCAGTCAACCCCCCTGCTGACATTCAAAGTTGAAGTAAAGCGTCATATAACATTCACAACAGATGGGTTTGTTTAGTGTGTTCATGTTCCACTGTGGATAAATAATTTAAAAAAAGCTTTAATTAAATAATATTTTTAGACGTTTTTGTATTGTTAAAGATTTTCTGCACAGGGACTTTATTTTCAGCCACATTCTCGTTTCTGTAATAAAGAATGAGGAGATCACAATGAAAAATCCTATCGTTCTTTTATGCAAAATGTAAATACCTTTTTGTGAGGTTCACCCATCAGTTGAAACTCAGGACAGGGAAAAGAAAAGGGTCGTCTCTTATCGTGGGTACAATCTAAAACGGTTTGCATCTTCTGTTTTTCAGAGCAAATTAAACCCGAGCATATTGTGGGTGATGATTCAGCAGATAATGAGGAGGAAACTCAAAGGGGTGAGAAAGTACTCTATGATCATTTATCTCTCTTTCTCTTTCTCTTTCTCTCGTTCACACACACACACACACTTACAGTAGTTCAGTTGAGGGCTCAACTGTAAGAATGACCACGATTTCCACAAAAATCTGAAGCAGAAAAATTTTTCAATATGGATAAGAACCATTATTAATGATTGAGCACCAATAATAATTGATCATAACAGAACAGCAAATCAGCATATTAGAATGATTTGTGAAGGATCATGTGACACTGAAGACTGGAGTATTGATGCTGAAAATTCAGCTTTGATCACAGCAATAAATTACATTTTAACATGGTGTATTGTGCAAAAGTCTTAGGCCACTAGGTTTTTTCACCAACAAAATTTTTTTTTAAGTCAGTTATTTCTATCTTTTGCTGTGTCAGACTCAGAAGGAAATATCCATTTCCAAGCATTTCTTTTGCCATTCATTGTAATAATCCAGTGAGATTTTTTTTTTATGCACAAGGAGTCTGACGGCAGCCAGTGCTCCACACTGAGATCTGATCTCACCTTCATCCAGTCCGTCTGAGATTACATGAAGAAACAGAAAAAACTGCGACAGACTAAATCCAGAAGAACTGTGACAACGTCTTCAAGACGCTTTAAGAAACCTAAACTAGTGGCCTAAGACTTTTGCACAATACTGTATATTCACATAGAAACAGTTATTTTTAATTGAAATAATATTTCTCAATATTACTATTACTGCAGCCTTGGTGAGCAGAAAAGACTTGTTTCAGAAACATTCAAAACTTTTGACCGGCAGTGTGTGTGTATGTATGTATTTATATATATATATATATATATATATATATATATATAGACTCATTGCAAGTTATCGCAAACGCTTGATTGCTGTTGTTGCTGCTAAGGGTGGCCCAACCATTTATTAGGTTTAGGGGGCAAACACTTTTTTCACACAGGGCCATGTAGTTTTGGGTTTTGTTTTCCCTTAATAATAAAAACCTTCATTTACTGCCTGCATTTTGTGTTCACTTGTGTAATCTTTTACTAATATTTAAATTTGTTTGATGATCTGAAACATTAAAGTGTGACAAACATGCAAAAAAATAAGAAATCAGGAAGGGGGCCAACACTTTTTCACACCACTGTATATATATATGGGGTCATGTATGGCATAAAAAAATTTAAATAAAAAAAAATTAGTAATTTTAGTAAACGGTTTTGTGTTTTTATTAATTAATTAGTTTGTTTATTTGTTTGTTTAATTGTTACCAAGGTAACATTATGTAGTTGTATAATGTTTTATTTATTTATTTTAATTGTTACCCAGGTAACATATCTAACTCTCATGTTTTACACCATATGCCATCATTTTCCAGTAAAATTGTGTGTATGTATTCATTAAGTTACATCATAGTTGCATAATTTCCTGCTATTATTGCAGATTAAAAACCTAATAAATATATAGTGGTAAAAAACAAATGTATTCCCTAAAGATAAAGATACTGTATGTAAGTATATGTTTCTGATATGTTACTGAAAATACATTTCTAAATTATTTTTTGTGGTTAGTACAGTAAAAATATTAGCAGAGTAGGTAAAAATCTGGGGGAAAAGGAGCCAGGGAATCACTGATTGTCTCTGTCTCTCTTTCATCCAGGAGGCACAGAGAGCGCAGAGGCAGAAGATGAGCGGCAGCGTCATGCCCAGGCTAGCTGGGTTCAGCGCATGCTGACCTCCATAATGGGGGACACCACCCTGTTCACCACACGTGAGGGCCGTGCCGGCAAGGTGCACAATTTCATGCTGGGACTCAACCTAAACTCTTCCCTGCCTTTCTCTGCCTTCACTGGCCTCATGCACCAGACCTCAGTGGATGAGGAGGTTGATGCTGTTACAGGTACTAATTAGCCATTTAGCTGCCACTTTTGTGCAAATTTCGATACATTTTGATGTCAAGGACCCCCAAATATGATGAACCCCTTGCAAGGACCCCCTCCTTAAAAAGAAAGGCTATTATAATTAGAAAAGCTATATATTTATATACACAGACTTTATTATTATTATTATACTTTATGAGAAAAAAACTGATATCATAAAAGTGTGATATTATAAAAACTGTTTTATTATTGTTAATTTAGCTTTTCATTTTTAATCTAGATTATTAAATATTATATAAATATAATTTGTATTGTATTTATAAAAACTCACAATCTTGATTTTTTTAAGCAATTTTTTTTTTAGTTAAAATATTTTTCACAGACCCCCCTAGCACATACTTGGGGTCTTCACACCCTATTTTAAAAACCGCTGACTCACAGTACAACCAAACGTAAGGTGCCTTGATCAAGGACACAGTAGTGAAAATTCAAGGATCACCCTTCACAGGATTCAAACCTACAAACAGAATTTTACTCTGTATATTTCTTAGTGCCTGAAACCTCTATTTAACCTGGTCTTGTGAAGTATGCCGTTAAAAGAAATGGGTGTGACGGCCTGTAGGTGGAACAATAGGCTGAAATTTGGTCAGGTGCCACTTGACTTGATGATGGGCTTTCAAACATTATTGGTGTCTGAGTGGGAGGAAGTTAGTTAGTCAACTCTCAAAACGACATACATCTAAAAAAAATACCAACACACCCACTGCAGATTAACTTTTCTCCCAGGGGGTAAATATATAGAAACATCACACAGGAAGCATCTTTGACATGTGCATGTCACTGCAAGATCGCTGATCGTGTTAAACAAGACCGTTTTGAGCGCTTTCTTAAGTTTATGTGTCATTCTGTTAATCTCACTGATAATGAAGGCAGACTCTCATTTATAATTACTGATAATAATAGCACTGCATGTCTGTTTGACTCAGCAGCAGTCTACTTCCTGTTGACACTTGGGTGTGGGGAAAAAAGATAAGCGAGAAGTAATGTTGAATAAATGATGACATTGTTGCATGGAATTTTCTTTTCTTTACAAACAACTAGGTGAATGTTGGTGATGGCATCCTGTAGCACCTTTATATGGCATTGACAAACCACAGTGATAACAGATGAATCTTTCCTGCAGATCCTGACGAGTTTGAGCGAATCTATGAGCCCTTGGATGTGAAGAGTAAGAAAATCCACATAGTGGACAGCGGTCTGACCTTTAACCTGCCCTATCCTCTCATTCTGCGGCCACAGAGAGGAGTTGACCTCATCATTTCCTTCGACTTCTCAGCCAGGCCCAGTGACTCCAGCCCGCCATTCAAAGTACGTGTCTGACATGAAGATTATGCATGACATGTACATATTAAGAATGATATGATATATGTTGATTTAGTGCTCATTAAACATTTTATCAGTGTTGAAACCAGTTGTGTGGAAACTGTGATACATTTTTCTTCACAAATCTTTAACGAATAGAAAGGTCAAAACAACAGCATTTATTTGAAATAGAAATCTTTTGTAACATTATAAATGTCTTTACTGTCATCTACTTGTGTCCTTGTTTGTCTGTGTTAGGAGATACTGTTGGCTGAAAAATGGGCCCGTATGAATAAGCTGCCATTTCCTAAGATCGATTCGAAAGTATTTGACCGAGAGGGTCTGAAAGAGTGCTATGTGTTCAAACCTAACAAGGGAGACAAGAGCTGCCCAACTGTCATTCATTTTGTCTTGGCCAACATCAACTTTCGGAACTTTAAAGCCCCAGGTGAGAGCATGTCATTAAGGGTGTACTCACACTAGGCGTTTTGAACCGTGCCCGGGCGCGGTTCGTTTAGCCGGCCCTGGCCCGGTTGGAAGAGGTGGGCCAGGGCACGGTTCGGTTGGGTTCGGGCGTGGTACGCATGCAGTGTGAGTGCTAACCGCGTCGGAGCACGGAACAGATACTATTTTGTGTGCGCTACTGTCATCATTACGACCGCAAACATATTCTATTACTACTACTACACTACACTTTTCAATTAATTTAATTTAATCAAGTATATTTAGGTTTATAATGGCTCTGGTTCTTACCTTATTGATGAACAGGAAATGTAGTTTGCGAGTAAAGCTGCAAATTATTTCATTAACGTCAGCTGCCTCCGTAATAATTTTCTGATACATACAAGTGAAAATCAATGCACGGCATAAATTATAAATTAATTATTATTAATTATTTGGCAGAATATTAGCGAAAGAGGTTTTCTCCGTCATCTCATACATGACGTAAGCGTGCTCCGGCCCGGAATGTTTAGTGCAAGTGTGAGTGCAGGCCAGCGGGGGAGTGGGGAGGGGGGATAATCGCGCTCGGGCTCAGTTCAAGGCAACCGTGCCTAGTGTGAGTACACCCTAAAAGGCTACACATGCATATGAACAATCAGTCAGTAAATAAGCTGTTTTGTTTCACTACCTTGAATTTATGTTTAAATCATATTTAGGTTAACATAACATTAAAGTTAAAGTAACATTAAAGGCTAAATAACAGTAACATTTCTCAGCTTATTTCAAATCAGACATGACCTGCACTAAACTGTGGCTCAATTAGTGAGTGAGTCATTCCAGCCTATTCTTTGAAGAAGTGAGTTGCCTGACTGATTCAGTCTATGATTCAGACTCTATGGCTCCTACTGTATGTTCAGTTCAGTCTGATTCACCAATTGGGTCCACAGATTCATAAAAAAATAATTTTACTGTATTTTTGATCAAATAAATGCAGCCTTGGTAAGCATAAAAATATTACCAACCCCAAACTATCTTTTGAATTGTACTGTATACAGAGGGGTCCACATGTCTGAGACCACATTGAAATGCAGGGATTCAGACTCATTTAAACCTGGAAATAAATAATGTTTTAGGATTTTGGAATATTTAAAATGAAGAAATGTTATGATGTCAAGTGAATCAGATTCTGTACTATTTTTAGGTCACTTATCAAAAATGTGTGTTATTGACAGGTGAAAAAAGGTCAGATTTAATCATTTCATTTCTGTTTTCTTGAAGGAGTTCCTAGGGACACAGACAAGGAGATAGAGTTTGGCGACTTTGACATATTTGACGATCCAGCCTCTCCCTTCTCCACTTTCAACTTCCAATACTCCAACCAGGCCTTCAGGAGGCTTCATGACCTCATGGAGTTCAACACGCTGAACAACATTGAGGTCAGTTCTTCTCCTTCAAACTCTGATTCAAACACCTTCACAACAGTCTTTGCAATTAGTTTTTGGTCTTCAACTCTTTTGTTTCGCAGGTTATAAAAGAAGCAATTAAAGACAGCATTCTGCAGAGACGAGAGAACCCCTCACGCTGCACGGTTTCCCTATCACTCAATGAAATTGAAAACAAGAAGTTCCTGAAACGAGATACCAGCAATGCGAAACGACCCACCTAACAGATAGCTGCAAAAAGCTACGCAAAAGCCTTGACGTGTGAGACTGCGTTGGTCCACTGGTGCTGATTCTCATTCAACCATTTCATGAGAATCACTGAGCAGATTCATCAGACAAGACTGGACTGACCTTATTACAGGGTCATTTTTATGATGCTTTCCAGACAACTTTGAATTCTCCCACCTCCTACTTAAAGATAACCACTGGAAAGGCGCTCGGTAGGGTTATTAATGTTAACTAAGATTAAAACCATAAAATACATGTATATCAGTGATTCTAAAATAGCACTGGTACAAACCCCAACTCCAATAAGAAGCACCATTTGACGTCATTACCAAGATGGTGACAAATAAAATGACATTCTGATGGCTATTTTGAAGTAGAGGTGGACAATTCCAACATCCAGGTTGTCTGGAACGCATCATGACTGGATTGCTCGAATGGTGGGAAATGGAAATTTCAGTTCTAGTCTTCCCACCTCCGACTTCATCTAGAATGCAGCATCAGGAACACAGAATCTACAGCCATTTTTTGTATTTTCTGCACTGATTTTGGGGGAACTTCTATGGAATAGATTTGAATATGGTAAAATGTTTTGTGTATGGCAAAATAATCTGAGAGACGAGAGTACTACGCTCTTATTGGTCACTGAAAACATTATCAAATTAGCCAACAATATTTAGTGAGTGAGTGAGTGAGTGAAAAGTGACGTGACATGTGGCCAAGTATGGTGACCCATACTTGGAATTAGTGCTCTGCATTTAACCCATCCACAGTGTACACACACAGCAGTGAACACACACACCGTGAACACACACCCGGAGCAGTGGGCAGCCATTTATGCTGCGGCGCCCGGGGAGCAGTTGGGGGTTCGGTGCTTTGCTCAAGGGCACTTCAGTCGTGGTATTGAAGGTGGGAGAGAGCGCTGTACATTCACTCCCCCCACCTACAATCCCTGCCGGTACGAGACTCGAACCCGCAACCTTTGGGTCTAACCATTAGGCCACGACTTCCCCCCTATTTAATAAATAGACACACAATGGGCAGGGGACGTGAAGAACTTTACAACATTCAGGACCATTTCCCAACTTCATTTCAAACTGATTCTTGAATTACCATGTGGGCAAATTCTCCATGTTAAAGTGCTTGCAAATCTGTCTGTGTCCTTCTCTACGGGTTGCAAGGAGCCAAGAACTGGCAGCTTTGTGTTCACTTGACATTTTAGCAGTAAAAACTGTTCTGGGAGTAATTTATTGTCTCAGTGGAGACCTGAGCCTTAGGACTCGCTGTTCCTCATGTGTTTCTGCCGATGTGATAAGAAAACAATTAATGCTCTCCGTTCAGTTCTACTGTGACCAGTAGATGGTTGATGGTTAGCCTTGCCTTCGGGACAGGATTCATCTCATATTTTAGCGAAAGATTCATTGCTTAGGAACTGGATTCAGCTGCTTTTATTTATTTCACTTACAAATGTCGTCTCCTGCCCAAGGGGTGAAAAGAAGAAGGTAAAATGCCATCTTACTCCTCCCACGCAGGACTCCACCTCCTTGTGAGGTGTCAGGAATAATGACATGATGGGACATGTTGTGAAAATATATTTGTGGCAGACTGTGGCACATACAGATCTAACTTCACACATAATCATTCCTCTGGTTTACATACTTTATGATGAAAGTGTATGCGAGATTATTTATTTGTATGCTTATTGTGTAGTTATTGTGTTTTATAATTCATTTTAAGATTTGGACATCTCAAAATCAAACATTTGAAATGAATGTCAATGGGAAAAAAGTGCTTAACGCAGAGCAGGTAAGGTCATTCATAAAACCGAACTGAGGTTAGTATGATAAAGGTGGCAGGTAGATACCAGAAAGACTGGTTGTGGGATAAAAATAGACCTAAGCATTAGAGTGCACTTTTAAGTCCAAAATAAATGTCTACTTTTACACATTCTTTGCTGGTTGTGTTGCGAACACCACAACTGTCAGATCCTTGAAAAGTGGGCATGTACTGTATGATTCATGTATACACAACAGAGTTATCTGTGTCATGTACATTTAAGTGATGTTACCAGCCTGTGTAGTGTCGTGCATAAACATAATAAAAGGATATTCATACCAATGAATGGTCTGAGAACTTTTTATTGGAATTATACACGGAGTGTTTACTTTAAGAAGCTGACTCAGGATCAGGATACTGACACATTTGACAGTACTGAAAAGCAAAGCACACTTTACTGTGGAAATTTTTTTCACAGTTTTGTGTTCATAGGTTTTGCGAAAAGGCGCCTCATTTGAGGAAATGTGTAGTTACTGGGAAAAAAAATAGTTGTTGGGAATTTCCTGCAAGTACCTTACAGTAAACTGAAAATATAAAACTCCATAACTGAAAAGCAAAGTATAGCTGTTAATACTACTACTACTACTACAGAAATTGTTAAATAGTTTGCAAAAATCACTTTTATTGTGACTTAGCATCTTGTGTCTTATCCAGGGCTGACAACATTTCTCACAAGCCAAAGAAAATATTCCTGTAGAAATTTCTATACCCTTCATATTTCATAAATGGGCAATTATCAATCATAATAACATAGATCTCATCAGAGACAAGTGTTCTTCCTGGTCTTCCTTCCTCTCTTCTCCTCTTCCAACTCCTCACGCTCTTCCTGTTTCAAGCACAACTACAAATTGTGTGAAAGCAACTGAATGATGATTGTCATATACCAAGTTTACGGAGACTGGTTCTTCTTTTAGAAAATAATGTAATGGTTTGAGTGTTTTGCTCATCTGCTAAAGGCTGAAATCCAAAACTCAGTGCTATCAGGGAATTTCACACATTTTGATGTCAATATGATGAAAAAATGTTACTACCGTTATCCATGACACCTCATTCGTATAAAATAATGGGATACTGTTTTTATGCTTGTTAATTCTGAGGTGTAGGAGATATTTTGTCTCACATGTACCTGTATGGCTTATTATCCCCATTAATACATTGGTAGGACATTTTGGCATTGCTTGCTAGAGCCAACTTTGATGGCATGGCCTGTTTTTATAGCCTTTGGAAATGTTTTCAATTAGCCTACATAGCAGCCATCTGCTGGGCTGCTGGAGGAATGTCAGTATGAGTAGAGGACAATCAGGTTTTATAAGACTGACTTAAGTTGCTCAATATTAGCTCATGCATGAATAATTAAGCTAATGTAAAGAATAATATATCAGTAACACATCTTCATTATGTAGTGCTAGAAAACAGGATGAGAATAAAACGAGATACCTTCTTTAATTTCATAGATCAAAACAAGTCAAATAACTACATTTGGAATAGATTAATTTTACATAGTGGTAAATATACACCTCAAAAGCTTTTCAAACAACGTCTCACCCAAATCGTAAAGGATTACTAAATTGAAATTACTTTCACTTATATATACATGTGCCTACACATTAAGAGCAGTATTTCAGAAATATTTTTTGTGTTGCCATTCCAACTTAATTAAATACATTTGGTACACACAACCTAACCTGTAAAAATAAATAAATAAATAAATAAAATCTTCTTCAATTTAAAAACTTAAGTCTAGTTGCTGCCTTAATTTTTCAAGTACAATCAAATTGGCCTTACAAGTCATTTCGACCTAAATTATATTAAACTGACTTAAAAATCGAGTCGAGTCTCATATAACTTAAAAAAAAAAAATCACGAAATTGGTTAAAATGTATTGATGAGTTAAAGTAGTCGAAAAACATGTTGATTTGCATTTAAAAATTCATTGTAGATTTGCATTAACGGCAACATATAATATAATATAATATAATATAATATAATATAATATAATCAGAATCAGAATGAGCTTTATTGCCAGGTATGTTTACACATACGAGGAATTTGTTTTCGTGACAGAAACTTTCACAGTGTAACAGAATGACAGTCACAGAACAAAAAAACAGATTAAAAAAAAATTGGTAAAATAAGTAATAAAAAATATACAAATCGACAATTGTATGTACAGGTATATAATATAATATCTCATATAATATAATAATTTTCGCACTTTTGCTACTGTTCGGAACCAATGTCCAATTTATTGCAATAACTAATTAAACATAAAATGAAACTTAAAATGAAGTCTTAAAATGGATTGATTGCGTGCCACCTAGAGTTAGATTTGAGATGACACGTGGAGGTTTTAATTTATGCCACTGACACTTAAGGGGCTTTCTATGCGGAAGTCAACAAGCACCGAGCTGCTTCCTGAAAGTGCTGGGACTATTTTGTATGAACTGACATCTTCTGATTGATTAATCGAACCAGTCATGTCGAAGAACACAGTGTCCGATCGATTCAGAAAGGTTGATGTAGATGAGTACGACGAAAACAAGTTTGTCGACGAGGAGGACGGCGGAGAAAATCAACTAGGTCCGGATGAGGCTGAGGTGGATTCTCTCATCAGATCATATCCTTTCAGTCCCATGACTTTTGTTGCTATTTTTCAGATGTCCTGCTTCCTTGCAGTATATCGTTTGATTTGTCGTTTTCTGAAAGCACTTGATATGTTGGTGTTGTGTTGCTATAATAGATTATTTCTGTTCTCTCGTCCAGACATGGGTGTGGTAGTCAGTCGCTTCATTCATTTAGGACGTGCACAGTTCACATGCTCATCATACGTTTGCACTGCGGATCCAACTCTTTAGGCTCTTTTAAAACTGCAGAATTACGGCTATAATGTTTAAAGTGCAACACCCGAGGCTGTATCTTATAGATGTGGCAATTACTTAGAATGAGGTTGCTGTAGAAACACTTCCGGATGCCAATGACTTCCGGTTGCAAGATTGCAATATGAGGGTGCACCTTCTCATATGTACTTTCAGACAACTTTTAATAGTTAATGTAAAGTGATATTTAAAGAGTTTGTGTGATTCGTGGCTAGACGTGATTTCAGGCGTCCTGCGGTGCTTTCCTTAGTGCATGATACAGGTAACCTGATGGGAGCTTTGCAGGCAGTACTGAAGAATCCACCCATCAACGCCAAGAACCAGAATGTGAAGGTGAGTTAAAGCTAAGTATCTCAAAATATCAATTATGTAAAACTTTTAGCATGATCATATTCTACAAATCGTTCTCACAATTTTTGCCTCCAAGGTCTTTTGCTGAGGTCCCCTAGTGGTTATAGGTCCACCAGAAAAACACATTACATAAGAATTCCAATTTACAGGGTTTACCTTTACATTTTAGGCCATTTTAAAACTATGATTTCCTGGCCTTTAAAAATCTTGGAAATTAATAAAATCTTGAATATTTAGTTGTTAATTTAATTGGCAGTTACAGTGTAAGCGTAATGCAAAAAAAGCTTAATTTCTTCACATTTAACTACAAGAAACATTAAATCTATTTTTATAGAATATAAGTATTGCACACGGTGAAATGCCATGGATAAAATATTACATCAATTACCATTTTATTTATGTAGAACAACATAAGATGACCAATAATTTAAGATACAACAGTAAACAGCCTAAACAATAATAAAGGCTTTTTAACCTTTTATACTAGAAGAAGTGTCTTGGCCTTTTTTTCTAATGATTTTTATGCATTATGTATGTTAAATATTATTTTTACCTTTAAATAGTGCTTTACATAATTATAAATAATTATAACTTATAATATTTGTGTAAAATGCACCTATTTAGATGGTCATATAGGATTGGAAGTGTATAAGAAGTATATAAACATCTCAAATGAATTGATTAATGATTCATATCTTTTCAAGGATAGTTCATTGTGTGTGTGTGTGTGTGTGTGTGTGTGTGTGTGTGTGTGTAGGACC